GGCGCAGCTCCAATTGTCCAGCTGGCTGGAGCACTTCCGGGTTCCAGTTGATGCTGGACTATTGGGAGTGCCGGACCACTGGATGCCGAACAATTGGAGTTTTATTGTAATATAATTTATTCCAAAATAACACTTCTGTATAGATGTAACCCTAGTTATTAGAACTTCTGGTAGCAGAAATAAATCTTGACCATAATAAGAATACAGGACAGGTCCTGCAAACCTTATTCACGGATGAGCTTCTTTAGTTTTTTAGTTGCTAAAGCTATGAATAGGCCAGGTGTTCAAAGTAGCTCAGCAATAGAGCTGTTTGAAAATTTTCCAAATGGATGTTTTTCCATCATAGAATCATAGGGTTGGAAGAGACCTCAGGAGCAGGGCCAACCCCAACTAAATCATCCCTGCCAGGGCTTTGTCAAGCTGGGACTTAAAAACATCTAGGGACAGAGATTCCACCACCTCCCTAGGCAACCCATTCCAGTGCTTCACCACCCTCCTGGTGAAATAGTTGTTCCTAACAAACAAACAAATCATTTTTATTTTATCATAACTAAATGTGGGGGATTTTAAAATTCGATATTTTTGGAACAGAAATAGTTTTCAAAAGCATGAAATTGCTTGCGATACACAAATTCCAGGTCTCACACTGTTCAACTCAGGACTCCTAGCTGCTCCCAAGCTTCTTTCGGAATAAGCTTTTCCAGAAGAGATCTTCCGGAAAAGCTTATTTCAAAATAGAGTGTCCACACACACATTTTTCTGAAAAAGCTTTTTCGGAAAAAGGCTTATTCTTCATGGAAGAAGGTTTACCACTGTTGGAGAAAGCCCTCCACTATTTCAACTTTCTGTCGAAATACCACAATTGCAGTGTGGGCACTAGTATTGTTTTTCTGGAATAATGGCCATTATTCCGGAAAAACGGTGCAGTGTAGACGCACCCATTGAGACCGATAGGAATTGCTGAATGTGGTGATAATCTGGCTGATAACATGCACAGGATATTATGAAGTAAACGACAAATGGTATACTTTTTTGCATCTTGATCTCTTTGGAAAATAAATGACTTCGTGTAGTGGGGTGGAATGGCCACCCACTGAGCCGGAGGCGGAGGAACCCCTCTGGGAGCCATTTTGGGCCCAGCATAGCCCCGCCCCCTCACCTGATCGGAAGCCAAAGTGTGGGGCTAGGAGTATAAGAAGGCCGCCGGGGAGCTGTCGGGGCCGAGCCTCTGAAGGAGACGGTGGCCTGTCCAGAGCTCCTGCCTGGGGAGGCTGAGACCCGGCTTAGGCCTCCCTCAGCTGTCTCCCCGAAGGCCAGCCGAGGCTTCCCTGACAGGGCTACAGAGGGCTGGCCAAACCGGCCAGCAGAACTCCCCGTGGACCCAGAGGACTGGCCCAAACCGGTGGACCGGCTGGAACCCCGACGGTTGCTGGAACCCCAGGGCCGGACGAGCCCGCGGGACGCTGCAGAGCTTCACCCCCTTGACCCCTGGATTGGTCCGGCCGGACCCTGCTGGGACGACATGGGCCTCGATGCCCTGATGGACCTGCTGGAGGTACAGGTACCTGGGAAGAGGGAGACGCGAAATGGCCCAGGGGAGAAGAGGGGCTG